AAAACCAAAAAGCTCTTGGAAAGGGGCTGGAAGGGCAAAGCCAGGGTAGGTGAACCCTGGAGGAGAGCATGCCAGCTCCTCTCATCCCAGGGCCCAACAGGGCTGTGATCCTCTTTGTGGCTGAGGGGCTTGTGGAGGTGCTGTGCAGTGGGATGTCTGTGGTCTGCTGTGCTCCCAGTGCCAACCAATGGAAAGGGAGCCCTTTCATGGGGACATTACAGCCTAGTGCAACCCTCCACAGGAGACCGTGGGTCTGTGCCCCCTTGCAGCTGCACAAGTGTTGTTGGTGTCTTGGGCACGTATCTGCAGGCAGCAGGGCTACTTCCCCTGAGGGGCCAGCTCACAAGCCCGCGCACATGGACTGCACACACAAAGGAGGCTGCTCACATACATGGCGGTGCGTGTTCACCCATTTTGGATACACCCATGTCTAAACCATGAAACTCATGATTAGCAGGTGCTGGGATCACAGGAGGAAGGTGCTCCTCCGTGTTGGGCCCAGGAGCTGAGATGCCGGGGCACCTTCCTAGACAGCTGGGTTCTGGGCACCCCGCACTCAGACGGGGTTGGAGCACATCTCTGTCTTCCCTCCTACCACAGGGCTCTGACCACTACACCACCGATGAGGCAGCATCCAGCCCCTTCTCCATCTAACCCTGCCCAGCAGGCTGGCACACAGTGAGCTCTGAGTGCAGGAGCAGTAACAGGACATTGGGCTCCTGTGGGACCGTTCACACTGGATGTAGATCTAAGGGGGAACAAAGCAGGGATACAAAGCACAGGACAATGGGCCCAGGAGTCAGGCACCAAGACATGGCAGTCAGGCCTGGGGTCCAGATAGGGATGGTGGTTAACAGGCTGCAGGGGCAGTAACCTCAGAGCCGTGCAACCAAACCCTGGTCAAAGCTGGGACGCAGAGATGAAGAGCAGGATGGGAGAGGAGCAGAGAGAGATCAGAGCTGACCCTAGGGCTGCCTGCCCTGGATACATTCCCATCCTCTCCCTGGCCTAAAGTAAGGGACATGGTTGGTCATGTGTTGCTGGCTAGACAGTAGTGACTGGGGGGGGGGGCCGGGGTGATAAGCAGGCTGAGCCTCATATGCCAATGGGGACTTATCTAGATCTTCTCCACCCACAGGTCATCATTGCTGACTCGCTGTGCTGCTCCTGGATGAAAACACAAATAAAGGGCTCAAGGATGTAGTTTGAAGGGAAGTTGTGAAATCTGTTTCACTGCGGGGATTTCAAGACTGGTAGACATCTGTCCAGGGCAGCTTGGACATAGCACGCCCTGCCCCTGTGCAGCAGATGGGACAAGACAGCCCTTGAGGACTCCTCCGACCTCAGGGATTCATGATTGCAAAACTGACATTTTCCTCGCTGAGGTGCTGCCTGGCAATGACTAAGGCCCTGACATGCGGGTTTTGCAGGCTTTGCCCTGAGAGATGCCATCCATGAAAATTTTCCCTTGGGGAAGGGGATTTTCCAAAAATCAATGAATCCATCTGAGTCTAACCAGCCTCATTACCGTGATTGTTCTTTCCATATTTTTCAAGCACATTGTGTGAGAAGCAGCCTCCTCTGCTCCTTTTCCACCTCATGCTCTAGTTGCTGCAGCACTCAGGAGGTTTTTGTACTGCAGTGTATCACTGTGAGAGGGAAGCTGTAGTCCTGCCCGCAGTAGTAGTCACCAGCATCTTCCACCTGCACCCCGGAGATGGTGAAGGTGAAGTCAGTGCCACTGTAGCTGCCACTTAACCAATCAGAGACCCCAGTAAAACAGTCATTTCCATTATATATGAGAAGCTTGGGAGTTTGTCCTTGCTTGAACACATGTAATTGCATCTTATAGCTCATGGAGCTGGAAACCTTGCACTGGATGGTGACTGTGTCTCCTGGACTCACTGTTAGGGAAGTTGGTGTCTGTGTTATAACGATGTCCCCAACAGATTCTACAAAAGAGGGAGAAAGAGAAAGCCTTGGTGTGAGTCTCCTTTTGCACTACTGGCTTCATAGTCCATATCTTCCAGTGTCTGTGCTATGTAGCTTTAACCATGGAGAAGAGGAGCTGGATCAGATGCATATCATGGTGCTTCTTTACTTGTTGCACTTCAAAATCTTAGTATCATGCATCAGAAGTCTGTACACTTCATAACCCCTCCAAATCTGACATGTTTTGAGGCTCAGGTATTGAAAGATATGCAAATGCAAGGTTGGGATAAATGATGCTTGAAGCTTCTTGTATCTTTATGGCTGCGCTGTGAAGAGGAAATAGCTGCAGGTCACTCTCAGCATCCTCAAGGAGGAGGGGATTTAACAAGAGGCAGGTGTGCAGTTAAAAGGCAGCAGTTCCATGTTTCTGGGTTTAAACACACTGAGTGCAGCAGGAGCGACAAACAGGTTTATAGATTTGATTACCAATGCATCTGGATGCACCAGCAGGCAATCTTGCTCATTGTACTTTTAAGCATTAAAATGCAGCATCCAGGTGCAGATGATTACATGTCCTAAACAGAATCAATTAGTGTAAATGGAGTGGAAAGGACTTTCCTTGGGCAGTTGCTGGCATTTGTTGGGCATAAGACAGTAACCCAATGTGTGCTTGTATCACATCTAGCCTCTGCTCAGAGAAATATGCTAAGGGACTTTGGATTTGCTTTGGTTTGTACAGGAAAATATTTTTCAAGGGCTCCAATACCATAGAAGTAGGAAGCACAGACGTTCAGATATCTAGACAGACAGCTTAGTTGTCCTATGAGTTGTTCTTTATGCAGTAGTCACAAGTACCTCCTCCTCCAACTGCCATAATTTTACTCTAATGGCACGGACAAGGCTTTAGCTAATTCTTTTTCTTTTTTTTTTTGGTAAAAATAGTAGCATGGAAAGTACTTGCTTTACTTTCAGTAATTTCAGTCCTTCTGTCTTGAGACTGGCAAATTTATCACTGATTTTAGTGAGTTTGGCCTGAGACAAGACCACCACAAGTGTGTGCACCTCCAACAACAGGTACTGGGGTCAGTGCCATATGACTAGGCACAGTGCCATGTGCATCTCCAGAGCCACCAACCGATCTCTCAGCCTATATCTTCATTACAAAGACCCTCAACCCCCTCCACTTGGTTGTACCTAATCTCATCTTCATTGGCCTGGTGATGTGCCAGGCCCACTCTGGCCTGGCAGGTGCTCTCTGCTCACTAGGTCCACTAGAATAGCTCAGTAAGGTCCAGATCCTACCGAACCCAGTGATAACAATCCTTTTGACTTGCATGATACTAAAACAGGGTTAAAAATGCCAATATGTTGGTTAAACACTTACATCTTTGAGTGTGAGTCACTGAACTATGGGTGCTCCATGGAGATGCTCTGTGCGCTCTAAAATCAATCCTCGTTTCTGTCACTCGTGCCCTCTCCTGGCCAGAGGCTGCTATTAGATGAACCCGTCTGCCTTCCAGGAGGTCTTAGTGCATCTTTCTCTGATAGATTAAAAAGAGCCATTGGGCGTATGCAGGGTTTTCTCCTTGGAAAGGTGTTCACATCATGAAACTCAGTCACCTCTCAGCCTTCTTCCCAGGGATGCATGTGATGTGATCAGGACAATCTTTGTGCCTGTCCGAAGAGCCTGTTGGTGGAAGAGGCTGTCTAGGGAACTTGTGGATTCTCCTTTGCTGGAGGTTTCAAAAAGAGATTGGACAAGCATTGGCCCTGGACAATCAAGTAGCAACAATGCCTGGAGTTTGCTGTGAAGAGCAATAGCTGGAAGCCCAGGAGAAGCCCCCTGCCCTCGCCGACACAGCGCTGGGAGATGATGGGAAGAGCTCTGCAGCCCAGAGCAGGGGACATTGGAGAGGACCATGTTCAGCAGCAGAAGAATGAAACAGTGCTTCAAAACTGACTTAGTTAGAAAAGAAGAGTAAATAGATGGGACAAGTGTGCAGAGATGACAGGATGAGAGAAAGGGGACTTATGGCTCTCTAGTTAGGGTTTGTGATGTGTGGAGCTGTGTTTGCTGTCCCCGTGTTGCAGAGCAGAGTGGAGGGAGTTCGGTCGCCTCCTGCCTCTGCACTTTGCTGGTGGCCACATGGGGCCACGGGGGAATTGTTTCCTTTCCTGTGGCCAGAGGGATTAAGGCTTTTTTTTTTTTTTTTACACTTTCTTAGAAGCCCAAGAGGCAGCTGAGCACTGTGCCAGGCACCTCTGGGCATGTGGACTGTGAGATCCCAATAGTGATGCATAACCGAGTGAGACAGCCGACATGTGGCTCAGTGCTCTGTGACGGGTCGGCAGAGTCGCTGGCCTGGGACTGCAGGAAGCAGCTGGTGCCGGGAGCAGCAGAACTGAGCAGAGCAGGGGGGTTTGTACTGGGCTGTAGCACTGCCAGAGGGGTATCATAATACTGCTGACAGCAACAATCTCCAGCATCACCAGCTTCCACCCGGCTGATGGTAAAAGTGTAATCAGTGCCAGACCCACTGCCACTGAAGCGGTCTGAGACCCCGGATGGCCGTGATGTAATGCCAGAGATAAGGAGCTTGCGTGCTTGTCCTGGTTGGAGGATGCGGTACCACTGTGAACCCCACATTCCCAGCTAGGTCAGTGGGGCACAGTGTGTCCCTCCCCAGTCCTGAGCCCTGAGACTATGCGCTGGACCGGGACGGGCTCAGGGAATTCATTCACATCCCCTACCCCTGAGCCAGCGCTGAGTTCCTGCTTGAAGCTGGTACTTCCCATGCAGCTGCAGGGCTCTGACCCGTGGGGAGGGGTGCAGCCATGTCCTTGTGGGAACAGGAGCTGCAGCCCAGGGCACCAGGCAAGCCCATACCCAGCCGTGCCTGCCACTAGTGCCAACTGCTGCCAGCTGGGCTGGCTCAGCTCAGGTGGGTCTGCTTTCCCCTGGCAAGGGAGCGGTGGCTGCCAGCTCTGCCTGGCACAGGGGCCTGCTGCCCCCACCTCAACCTCAGGGCTAAAATTGCTCATGCTTGTTCAGAGGAAATGAGCTGAAACCATCCAAATGAATCAGCTGAGTTTCATACAAACAAAACAGCTGAGGACACCTGTGAGATCCTACTGAGATAGTCACTGATGGGCAGCAGTGGTGGGTGAAGTGCATGCACATGAGCAGCCCCAGGCCCTGCTGTGACGGGGCAGGAGAGTCCCTGGCCTGCGACTGTGCAGGAAGCAGCTGGTGCCGGGAGCAGCAGGACTGAGCAGAGCAGGGAGGTTTTTGTACGGGGCTGTAGCACTGTGAGAGGCCAGCTCTGATACTGCTGACAGTAATAATCTCCAGCATCCCCAGCTTCCACCCGGCTGATCGTGAAAGTGAAGTCAGTGCCAGACCCACTGCCACTGAACCGGTCAGGGATCCCCGAGGGGCGGCTGTTTGTGCCATATAGAAGGCACTTAGGAGCCTGCCCTGGTTTCTGCTGGTACAAGGCCATGTTGCTGCTAACGCTGGAGCTGGTTTTGCACTTGATGGTGACTGTGTCCCCTGGAGACACTGCCAGGGACTCTGGAGTCTGAGTGATGACGATGTCCCCGCTGGAGCCTGCAATGAGGGAACATGATAATAAGAAAAATACACGAGACAATTTAAGTGTGATGCTGTTTATAGGAATAAGTAAAATATCTTTTAAATTGTTGATGATCTTTTAGAAAACACAGTTATATTCATGCCCGTGAAGGCAGCCAGTGGAATGAAGAGCTATTCTGCAATTGTTAAAATAATTCAGTCATTTCTAAAGTATCATAATCTACACCTTGGCTGCATATTTTCCACTAATTTCTCTGTTCTTCCTGTTCTTACCCTTTGCCCAGAGCACGAGGAGCCAGAGGAGCTGAGTCTGCCACAGCATCTTGCTGCTTCTGCACCGACTGACACGGAGCTGAGAGACACCAAGCGTTAACTCTGCCCTTTTATAGCTGCTCCCCAGAGCAGGGCGCTTGCTGCCAGTGGCTGGCTGTATGCAAACTACCAGCTCTATGCAAAACTGCCTTCCCTGGGGCCCAGGGCAGAAACAGCAGGGAAGAGGCCATGGACAGCCCCACTCTGTGAGTATATATATAATTCACAGAGTGCGAGAGGCCATCACTCCATCCTTATCCAGCTCTCTTGTCTGGTCCGGAGCATCCCAGTGTAAAGGCACAGAGGACTGGAGGAGTTCGGGGTCTGTTCTGGTCCTGCTCATACAGGGTCCAACACATGAGGTTTGCAATGCCTTTGGGAACAGTGTGATAATTGCGTCAGGAAGCAGAAAGCTGTTGGAGCTTGTGGGCCCAAGGTAAAGGGTGGCAGGCCCCTGGACTAGGAATAGGATGGGAAGTCATCCTACTTACCTGGCAGGGGAAACACCATGGCCACTAAGGTGGTTTTCCTAGTTTCTGGGGATAACTGCTTTTCTGGCAAGGGGTAGTGCCTGGGCAGAGGTAATGTGTAGTTAATCTCCCACTTTCATTTCCAGTGGAAGATGTTGGCTTTACGCCCACTTTGTGGAAATGGGAGACTCTTCCCTAGCTTGCTCCTACAGCCGTATGGCTGAGACCAAGCAAAACTGGGGGGCATTCAAACCCCAAGCCTCTGGGCTTGGGCCTGCAAGTAGGATGCCTGCCAAAGGTTTTGGGAACAGCTGAAGCCCCAGGCAGGGGTGGAGGATGTTTGCTGGTAGCATGGCCACATATGGTTCTTGAACGACTCACGGATTTGGAATTGATTGGGCTGATTTGACTCGGATTACGAAAAGTTTTCCTTAAAAAAACCTGAAAACAGTGTAGTGGTAGAAAACACCTCCATGCAGAATAATTATTTCTGCTGTTTCTGTTTCCTTTTAGTTGAAGATAAATGAGCACAGAGCTCCTAGAATAGCAATGGTGCGCAGTTCAGGAGTGTCTCTGAGCAGGGACCTCTTCCTGCCCTGACTTCCCATTTCCCTTCTGATTTGGCTTTTCCCTGGAATCCAGGCACCAGCCCCGGGTGCGCTGAGCCTGCGAGTGCAGCTTTGTGTGTCTGTTGCTAGGGGCTGACCATGTTAATGAGGGGGTAAAAAAAAATCCTTACTGGTCCTGAGCAGCAGGAAAAGATCAGATCAACGGAAGGGAATGGACCTGTCCCGAGCATTTGAAATCAAGGCTCATTGGGTCACTTGATCAGTGCGGTCACTTGATCAACTGCGTCACTTCATCAGTCACTTGAGACAGGCAGTTACGTTAAAACTCTCCGTGGCCATGGCCCTGCCTCCAGGGGGCCGAGAGGACGGGGAGGCAGCTGGAGTGAGGAGGGCAGGAGCTTGTCCTGGTTGTACTGTGCCAGGCCAGACAAGACCTGGAATCTCTGTTATCAATTGAAGAAATCCCAAATCAGTCCAGAATGTGAAAGCTGCCGTCCTGGTTATCGGTGAGAGACACTCATCTCAGTCTCAAATTCTTCATCAAACTTGCTCTTGGAGCTGGCCTGTGTCTTCCTGCTGCCCTTACCCTGCACCCAGAGCACAAGGAGCCAGAGGAGCTGAGTCTGCCACAGCATCTTACTGCTTCTGCACCGACTGACACGGAGCTGAGAGACACCAAGCGTTCAACTGCCCACTTTATAGGTGCTCCCCAGCACTAGGCGCTGTCCCTCGGGGGGCGGATGCAAAGCAGCAGCTCTGGGTCAATGTGCCTTCCTTGGGGCTCAGGACAAAGACAATGAGAAAGGACTAGAGACATCAAGGAGAAAAGCAGAGTGGGCAATGTCATCCTGGCTGTTCTGAGCGACGTGAAGCTCAGTGCAGGGAAATGAGAATGAAGCTCAATGGCTTTATAAGCGCAGCTCAGAGCAGTAAGGAAATGACATTAGGGTGGGAGAGAGCAAAGAGCAGGAGCGATGAAAATATTCCCTGGATTTCAGGCCTGAGTCTGGAAAAGTGCTGTGATTATCAGAGAATTTTTTTCTGGCTACAGTCAGAAAAATCAGAATGTGATCCTGAGATAGGGCTTGGGCATGGTTTTTTTGGATTAGTTTCTCCTATTTCCAATCCGGTGGTTCCTTTATATATTAAGTCATGTTCACCCCGTAGTGAGAGTGTTTTCAGACACAGGACAAGTACAGACTGTCAGCTCTCCCAGCAGGCCCCAATTACATAAATGCATAGAGAGAGAGAAAAATATCTGGAGGAAACAGCAGCTTTCCAGAGTTTTGTCCCTAGTCCAGTCCACATTCCCACTATTGCTTCATTTAAGGCCATTGCTGTACAACAGGAGTGTCCAGTACATGGCTGCTGGGTCAAGTCTGGGCTAGGCGAGCCACTGGGAGTTGTGGGCAGGGTGGGGGAGAGGCCTGCTGGGCAGCAGGAGGATGAGTGAGGGCAGATACAGCCTGAATTCCCCTCCAGCCACTTTGCCCATTGACCCTGCCTCCTCCACTGGCTCCCCTGCAGGGACAATTGATGCTGTCACCACAGACCCCGTGCTAGAGCCAAAGCTGCCACCATGGAAAAGGCACTGGGCAGCAGTGGTGGCTCTGGCACGAGGTGCAGGGCCGAGTTGGAGCTGCCACCACCAGCACTGGCAGAGCTGTGTGCCCGGGGCAGAGCCAGAGCTGCTGCTGCCAAAACCCTCAGCCCCTGTGAAGTTGGTAGGGGACATCTAGCAGCCGCCCTAACACCATTCCTCATCTGCAATCACCAGGCTCCACCCTGTTCCCTCGCCTGCCATGACGTGATGGTATATTTGGAGGAAGTAGGGAGGCTGCCTGCTGAAAACCAGTGTGGTCTGAGCTGCGTCATGTTGCCCCACTCACCATCAGGGATGTTTGGTCTGGCCTGATCTTTTAGCTCTCCTCCACAAGCGTGGGATCCTCCCTGCATTTGGCCCTGGCCAACTTGCACTCAGTCCACAGCCAGACTCTCCCTCCACCCCTGTTAATAGCCCTTCTCCAGGGCTCTCTCTTCCTAGCCCCTGTTGGCAGTCCCCAGCTAGGACTCCCTGTCACTGCCCATGCACTCAGGTCTCCCTTGGGTCTGCAGTCTGGGCCCTTAGCTGGTCTTCCTGGTGCCTGCAGTGGTTTCACAGGGCTACAACCCCCTGCAAACCAGACAATGAGCAGTGCCCTGCCCTGTGGCCATAGTGGCCTCCACACTCCAGTTCTAGCCACCCCGTGCTTCATGGCTCACACAAACAACTCATCTCTGCAGAGCTCCTTTCCCTCTATGGCGCTGGAGCAGAAACACTCTCCAGCCCAGGGGTCAGCCTCATACAGATCTGCGCCCGCCCCTACAGTCACCTGACCTCTGATTCACAGAGCCAGGCACACAGGTGCCTCTTTACTAATTAGCAGGCTGATTGCTTCAAGCCTGCCTCTGCCAGCCTCCTCTGCAGAGCAGGCCTACAGCTCTGCAGCCAGCTTCTCTGCAGGTGCCCCCTCCAGCCTGCTCTCTGTGCACTGCTCTCACTCCGCTCAAGTCTAGGCTGGCCACCTGCCTCTCTTTGGGCAGGACAGCCCCAGAATGGGAATCTTAAGTCCTGGTCCTAGGCTGCGTGGCTCAGGGACAGGGCTTGTACCAGGTCCACAGCATCATGCAGGGATCAGGAAACAGCGGGTTTCCCCTTGCAGGCTGGCAGCGATCCAGCATCCCAGCCTGCACGGGGCTGCTTGGGGCTGCAGGAGTGGGATGCAGGGGTGCCACATGTGTGTGTGCATTAACACACATGCAAATGGGCAGGAAGACAGACAGACAATGTGGAGAGCAGCTCCCTGCAGGTATGTCTATGGGGAGTAGGGGTTTTGGGGTGGAAGGGGTGGGAAAGTGAGACCTCCATCGTGAGAGAGGGAGTGCAGCTGGGGTGGGATCGCTGCCTGGTGGTGCATGGAGCCCAGGGCTGGGGCAGGGAGTGGGACAGAGCCATGGGTGGCTCATCCAGGGGACACTTGCTGGTTTCCGCTTCTGTGTGCGCTCCCCAGGATGGGCACGGGGAGGCACCTGAACTCCAAATTTGTGCACAGGACAGGGGCAGGTGCAGGCTGCCCACAGTGGGCTCAAGTCTCCTTGCCCTGCTTCCCTCACCCTGGGAGCCCCATGCTGGTCACGCTGCAATGATGAGGTGCCCTCACCTGCCCGGCAGCAAGTGGTGGTGTAGATTTGTGCACCCCACTGCTGCTCCAGCCTCATCAGCTCAGCGCTGCTGGCTCTGAGAGGGGAACCTGTCCCTGAGGCACTAAACTGGGCTGGGACCCCGCTGGGGGTTTCAGAGGCTTCACAGATAAAAAGTGTAGAAGACACCTCCAGATTTCTGTCTGCCCATCATCTGCCCCATCATCCCGGCATCAGTGCCTAGGTCTGGTTGTGTTTGATTGGGTTGGTTTCCCTTCACCACAGTGCGGCAGCAGCAGCTGGGCTCAAATATGAGCAGGGTCATACCGGTCACTGCCACAAAAACATGCTGATGCTGCTTTAAGGCTCTTGGCCTCCAAACCGAGGGGTGAATTGTACTACAGCAGAGCCCGGGAGCATTTCCTTTCCAGCGCTCTTCTGTAATTCAAGTATTAACACTGGGCTGGGGCCAGGCACAGCTGCGTTGCTCACTGCACATCAGCAGTGCTGTGGGGAGGAAGAGGTTTCTGTACTGCAGTGTATCGCTGTGAGAGGGAGGCTGCCGTCCTGCTGACAGTAGTAGTCGCCTGCGTCTTCCACCTGCGCCCCGCGGATGGTGAAGGTGAAGTCGGTGCCGCTGTAGCTGCCACTGAACCGATCAGGGACCCCAGTGGCTCGGTTGGTAGCATGAGAGATGAGTAGCTTGGGAGCTTCTCCTGGTCTCAGCACATACAAGTCCACTTCATTGCTGACACTACTGGAAACCTTGCACTGAATAGTGACCGTCTCTCCCGGGAGCACTGCCAGAGAGCCAGGGCTGAGTCACAACAATATCTGCACGTGAGCCTAGGAAGAAAAGAAATAAGAAGCCCTTTGGTGAAGAGCCTTTTCAGACACGTCAGTGCTGCCCGCCCAGCACTTGGGAATTGCATCGTGAAGTTTATGAGAAGCGAGCGGGCAGCTCCTCTGGTTGTGGAGGGGAATGAACACGTGCTCTGAGCCCAGAAGAAAAGGAAAAGAAAAACACCCTCAAAGTCAGTGTATTGCAAAAAACAACGGATCTTTCAGCTCTGACCCAGGACTGTTACCTGCTTGACATTGGGCTGATTGTAGGTAAGATTTATCAAAAACAGGGCAGACATCAGTATCTACCTTCCAATACAGAGAGAAGGAGCCAGATCAAACCCATTTGTAAAATCATTTTCCTTCAAGAGGAGCTTCCCTACTAACACTTGTTAAAATGCAGCCAGTTGGTCACAACTTCTCTGGAGGATTTTGGTACTTATGAACTGTACCATGGAAAGATATGCGAAGTGGAGGATGGCCTAATGATAGTGAACACTTTCTGCTCTGTACTTCATGGCTCTCTGGTGAAGAGGAAACAGATGCACAAGACACAGCACCACAAAGCTCAAGAAACGATGACAGGAGACACGTGCAGCGGTTCCTGGTTATGTAGGAACGATTCTGTCCATCGGTGTCTGTGGCTGCGCAGGGCTGAGATGTTCAGCCAAATTCCTAACAGGCCAAAATTGTTGAATGATTTTTATTCATCTAAACTGTCCTGTTTTCAAAAGGTTTTCTTTGGGAGAATAAATTCTGAGAAGGAAAAATAGACATTTTGGTGTGTGTGTGTGTATATATTTTGCTTTCCTCTCTCACACTCCTTGGCCCATTCACTGGTGTGCAGTTCACGCGCCCAAGCTTCTGGCTGTAAACACAGCGAGCGTAGCAGGACAGACAAGCACATTTCTATACGTTTAGGTTAGCAATGCATCTGGATGCACCAGCAGGACATCTTAGCTCTTGTACTTTGAAGCAGAAAAATGTAACATCCAGGTGCAGATGATTACATTTGTCAAACAGAATGGATTAGTGTAAATGGAGTGGGAAGAGCTTTCCTAGGGGAGTCACTGGCATTTGTTGGGCATAAGACAGTATTCCAGTGTGCTGAGAGCCACCCCTTTGCAGACAGGAGAGCACAGGGGCTGTACAGAACGGGAGACAAGAGCAGAGCAATCCTGCTGTTTCCAATCCATGCGTCTGATTCTTTTCTCTCTTAGGACCAGATCTGTTTCCATCTAATCCCACTGCCCTCCGTGTTGTCATTGCTCATCTACACGGGGTTCAATGAGAATCCAGTGCAATTTGTCCTTAAACTGTCTTCCTCTCATTTGCAGGTCCTTGCCTCCCCTCTCTCCAGCTTTGAACAGTCTCATTTGCTTTCCTCTGAGCCCTTGTCTGTCTTAGCAGCCTCATCATGGCCTGCTAACTTCTCCCTTTAGCCTCCTGGGGGTTAGTATTATATACAGACATGTAGGCTAATGGGATCAATCCCCTCTATGCAGGTTTCTCTAGGCTGTGCAGTCTGGATTGGGAGCAAACAGAACTCACATTCACTTTTGGGTGGGAGGAGACAGGCAGATGCCGGCAGCGGCTGAGCCAGAAGCCAGGGGCACCCCATCATGACTCCCCACATGCCGCAAATTGCCGTGGGCATCTGATTGCAGCCAAGAGGGACCATCCCATGTTGGCTGTCAGGTATACAGCTCCCTGCACTGTTATCTGGAAGTCAGCTTCAGCTGCAGGCAGCTAGCGGAGGGACGTGGGCTTGGCCCAGTTTGGTGGAGTGGGCTTTGTCCAGGGTGGAAGGTGCAGGAGTCCACCCTTGGAGGACAGAGGTGCGGGGAGTGGGGCTCATGAGCTACAGGGAGGAGGTGGTACCACAAGCCGTCCCCATATTCCCGACCAGATCAGTGTGGCATAGTTTATCCTTCCCCTGTCTCGACCCCCTGGACCATGCACTGGACCAGGAAGGGCTCAGGGAATCCCCCCTTCTCCTACCCGCTAGCCAGTGCTGAGTTCATGGCTGAAGTGACTTCTTCCTGTGCAGATTCAGGGCTCTGGTCCCTGGAAAGGGGTGTAGCCATGCCCTTGGGGCTTCAGTGCCTGGTGCGGGCAATTCCAGTGTGGGAACAGGGGTGGCAGCCCGGGGAGCGGGGCAAGCCCATGCGCAGCCCCACCTGCTGCTAGCACCAGCTACTGCCAGCTGGGCTGGATCGGCTCAGGGGGGTCTGCTTTCCACTGGCCGGTGAGGGGTGGATGCCAGCTCTGCCAGGCACAGGGACCTGCTGCCCCCACCTCGATCTCAGCACTAAACTGGCATGTGTTTGTTTAGAGGAAAGATGCTGAAACCATCCTAACATCTATGAATCCAAATGAAAAAGCTGAGTGCCATGTAAGGAATCACAGGGCAGGCAGGACACCTGTGACATCCTAACTGAGTTAGCCACTGATGGGCAGAAGCGATGGGTGAAGTGCATGAACATGAGCAGCCCCAGACCCTGCTGTGACGGGGCAGGAGCGTCCCTGGCCTGTGGCTGGGCAGGAAGCAGCTGGTGCCGGGAGCGGCAGGACTGAGCAGAGCAGGGAGGTTTTTGTACGGGGCTGTAGCACTGTGGGAGGGGAGCTCTGATGCTGTTGACAGTAATAGTCTCCAGCATCCCCAGCTTCCACCCGGCTGATGGTGAAAGTGAAGTCAGTGCCAGACCCACTGCCACTGACCCGGTCGGGGATCCCGGAGGGGCGGTTGTTTGTGCTGTAGAGAAGGAGCTTCAGAGCCTGCCCTGGTTTCTGCTGGTACAAGGCCATGTTGTTTCTTGTACTGTAACTGGTTTTGCACTGGATGGTGACGGTGTCTCCTGGAGACACAGCCAGGGACTCTGGAGTCTGAGTCACAAGGCTGTCCCCGCTGGAGCCTACAATGGGGAACATGATAATATGAAAAAAACACATGAGACAGATCAACTGAAAATTAACTGCAATGCTGCTTATGTTAATAAATAAAGTATCTTTTATATTGTTGATAATCTGTTAGAAAAAATATATTTTTGGCTGTGAAGGCTACCAGGGGACTGAAGAGCTATTCTGCAATCATTAAAATAATTCAGCCATTTCTAAATATCATAATCAGAATCTACCTATTGTCTGCATGTTTTCCACTAATTTCTCTTCCTGTCCTTACCCTTTGCCCAGAGCAGGAGGAGCCAGAGGAGCTGAGTCTGCCACAGCATCTTGCTGCTTCTGCACCGACTGACACGGAGCTGAGAGACACAAAGCGTTCAACTGGCCCCTTTATAGCTGCTCCCCAGAGCAGGGCGCAGTCACTGGACGGCCAGATGCAAAGCAGCAGGTGTCTTCCTGGGGCCCAGGGCAGAGCCTGCAGGGCAGGGGCTAGAGACAGCCCTGATTCATGGGTGCAGATGCCATTTGCTGGAAGGGAAGTATGCAAACGTCTAAATGGGAAGTCACGACAGCTCTGCAATGGTGTAACCCCGTGGGGTCCGGTGGCTCCAATGCTGATCCACGATTCAGTGTGTTCAAAACTCTCCTCACTGCTACCTGCTCTGCTTTCCCTCTCACATAGGCTGAGGTTTCTCTTCTTCTCTTTTAGGTCCAATTTCTGCCACAGCATCTGCATCCCATTCAGCCCCGCTATCCCCCTGGCTCCCTCCTTCCTCTCAGCATCTCCTTTTCCTCAGGATTCTTCCCTCCCTGATCCAGATACGCGGTCTCCTCTTCTATTGCTAACCTCCTCCCTGCCCATCCCAGTGTGCCCCTGTTTCCCTTTCCATGTTAGTGCAGGACACCGCACACACGATGTGTATGGTCTTTGTTGTAATTTCCTCTCTTCCAATCCATCCTTGCTCTCAGGTGTGGCTGCTCCAGAGACCAGGGTTTCTTCCCTTGTCCAGTCTTTCCTGGGTGCCTGCAGTCAATCACACCATTCCCTAGACACTTGCCAAGGCAGCTGCCCTGTGCTTGGCACCTGGGGTGCCCCTTCTCAGCTGCACTGTCTCGAGCTCTCTGCCGGAGCTCCCCCACAGCCACGATTCCCTGCTGCTTTCTCTAGCTCTCCCAGAAAACCTCCTCTAGCAACCCCTGGCCCTGATTCCCTCCAGTGACTCCCTGCACCTGGGGTCTTAAGAGTGGGGAGGGGAACCTGTTTGTGCAACCCCTGCTCCTTCAGAAAAGGATACCAGCTGATCCTGGGTACTCAGTACCTGGTGGCTCCTCTGCCCTCGGTAGCAGCTCACTCAGTCACGATACTTCTGGCAGTCGTCCTCTCAGAAGCTCTTGTCCTGGGAGCAGCCCTTCTCCGCACAGCTTCAGCTCCCCTCTCCCCAGCTAGTCTCCCCTGTTTTGCCCTGGAGTTACAGCTGTCCGATCATGTGCACGCATCCTGTGTGTGCAGCCTGTGGCACATCCTTGTCCCAAGAGTGCAAGCACCCTGAGTGAGCTTGCAAGCTCTGAGGAAACCCTTCAGCACCTTTACACGATAATTCCCCACCATCTTTTAACCTCCTGTAATGTGCTTGCCTCTTTGTACCTTCTGTCTGGGATGATCAGGTCCACAGCTCTTGCACCATATAAGCCCATTACCAGAGACACAGCTATGAACAAGGTCCTAATCAGTCTGAAACTCATAGGTGTTCCCTAGGTTTCCAAGTGGCAGGGGCAGCTGCTCTGCATCTTTCACTAGCAGGGAGATTGCAACTAGGAGCCAGCATCAGTGAGACTGAATGAGCTCTCCCTGCTGCTCCGCTCCATCTCCTTCTGTGCATGCGGGTCTCAAAGGAACCAGGAACAGACTGTGTCACCAGCGACATCATTGGCAATAGCTCTGGACCATCCCAGTCAACTTTTGCTCATCTTCCCCCAAAGGGACAATTATCATCATTATAAATGTCTGGAGCTTGGAGCAGCTTCTGACAGCATCAGCAGCCCCTTTTTTCTTGATCCTATCCTCTGCTGTCCCTCCTAAGTACATTTGGGTGTCATTTCTCTCCATATACAGCTGAGACTTATACCTCTAAAGAGAGGCAGTGTCTGAATGGGTACACCTCTCAGACAGTGCTGAACAGAGCCTGCTGCCTTGAATGTGCAGGTGGAAAGGAGGTGTGAGCTGACTGACAGCAGCCACCTGTGCAGATCTGGACCACCAAGGAGGGGCTTATTGCTTCGGTGGCATGCCAGATTCCCTCCCCGTGCAGTGGAGATGATCCCTGGTTGGATCACACATGCTGCACTGTTACTTAGCACTGAAAAGAAACCCAGGTTGTGTTATGGTCTTTGACTTGTGATGGGGTTTGCACTAGCTCCACCCTCGCACAATGATACGAGGATGTTGGCTTTGTCATTGCTTCATCACTGGAGGAGGGATTGTCTGAACCTGATTCAAAAGTCCTGCAGTTAGCAGACAGATTTCCTGGGAC